CGTATAATTATAGGAGATTATAATCTTTATTTAGCATTCTATGTAAATTACGAGATAGGGGTATAATACTAAGGGGGGTTTGGTTCAAGGATTGTGAGAATACCATATTTTTATGTTTGGTTGGTCGGGAATCTCATTCTCGGTAATGTTTTATTACCAATAGTAAATTTTTTTGGGTATATTATTGGGAATGTCATTACCTCCATTCCTTTAAGTATTATAACATTACCGGCGTTTTAGACTAAAATGTCCTTAATTTTTTATTTTTTTTCTTCAAAAATATCTTTTTTCTGTCATTGAATAATAAAAATTCTACGAAGATTAATTATAAATTTATCCTTAAATTATTTTAGATTTACAAAAAAAAGTCTATAATTAAAATTTTATATGAAGTTCAGGGGTTAAATTTTTTTTACCCTTTCATTAAACTTTTTTTATATTTTTAATTTTGTAAAAAATTTATATAAATATTATGAATTTAATTTTTAAAGAAAATATATAAATATTTTATAATTTGTAATAATATACAAATATATAATAAAGATAATTTGGTCAAATATACATTCCAATAATCTTTTATTCCTTTAATTAAATACGGCAATCTTATATTCCTGCTAAACCAATCAAACACAAAATACAATATTTCCAATAATTCTATTCTCTGATAATCTTTTATTTCCACTGATAATCTTATATTTTATAAACTAAACGCACAATAACAACTTTGTCTGGTCATGATCTTATCCAATATAAGAAAAGAAATAGCCGAGTACGAGAGGATACTAACAAGTACTGCAAGAAGCTAAGAAAGCAAAAGACGATAAGACATGCCTTTGGGATTACATACTTCTCTGGGACTTTACAAAACCCTAGAAAAAAATATAAAATTAAAAACGCGGTGCTGTTTTCCATGCACCTTTGATTTTGATAATATTAGGAGTGTGTTTATTTTACGGAATGTAAGATAAATAATGAGAATAAAAGATTATTAGAGTATGATTATTTTGAATGTTGTATTTTGTGTTTGGTTGATTTAACAGAAATATAAGATTACAGTGTTTAGTTAAAGAAATAAAATATTATTAGAATGTATATTTAATCAAATTATCTTTATTATATATTTATTTTTTATCAAGTTGAAAAATATGTATATATATTTTTTAAAATTTTAAAATTGTAAAATTTATATTTTTTTATATAATTAAAAATATAAAAAGTTTTAATGAAAGGGTAAAATTTTATTTTAACCCTTGAACTTCATATAAAATTTTAATATAGATTATTTTTTATAAATCTAAAATAGTTTAAGGATAAATTTATAATTTAACCTTCGTAAAATTTTTATTATTTAATGACAGAAGAAATATATTTTTGGACAAAAAATTAAGGGCATTTTAATCTAAAACGTCGGTAATGTTACAATACGTAAGGGAAGGGAAGTAATGACATTCATAATAATATACCCAAAAAAAATTTACTATTAATAATAAAACATTACGGGGAATAATATTTCCGACCAACCAAACAAAAAATGTAGATTCTATTCCCGAGATAATCCAACATATTCCCCTGCAAACGGCCCCTAGGTCTTATTGTTCATATTCGTCGTTCAACTAAACAAAGAAAAAGATATCGGTCTTCCCCCCGTACTTCCCAACGCAAATTGTTTTTTGTTTTCTCTCTCTGGCCTCTGAGATGGAAACTCGCAGAAAGTTTCTGCCTCAAACTGAGGAAGAGAGAAAGTGATAGATGAATGTTAATAATTCATGTTCTCATTCAAATAGTCTAATTTGTTTATGGGGAATAACTTAACCTCTTTTGAGTCGGGCAGAACTCAGCAACACATTTTAAGAACGAGTTCAAAAACTCAGGCTGAATCTAGTGAAAATTTAATTGGTAATTGAGTTGATAAATTATATTATTTAATTTAAGGTAAATTATATGAAATGCCACTAAATTTTATTTATTGATTTGTTTATACAATTAAATTTTAAATTATTTAATTATAATATTAATTTTTTGTTTTACATTTAATCATGTCATTTTATCGTTAAATTAGTAAAACTATCATGATGTGACAAATGGTTGTTGATATAATATATCTTATCAAAATGACATTATTTTACTGCGACTATTTTAATACCTAAAATGATAGTGTCTTAGACATTAAATTCTAATCGTATAGTTGTTTTTTGTTATTAAACTTTTAAATGTTTTACTCTTTTGATATTACACTTCTCGTCGGCCATCAATAGTTAATCATATACAATTTTTATGGTTGAATTGATATAGAGCGTTCACATTTAACTCTTTTTTTTTTCTACTATTAGTTTTTCAGAAAATTCACTTAAAATCAATGAAATTAAATAAAAAAATCTACTATTTTCTTGATGGTTATAGGCTTTCTTAGATTTACGCTATTTGGAGTGTTCATAAAAAAAATGGAAAACGAGGAATAATATTCGTGCATACAAATAACATACCTTAAAATTAGACTCATTAGATGATAATTGAAATATATCGACTTGGTATTTTCCACTTCGATGGACGTCTTCACGTTGTATGCTTTAAAGAAGAAATTGTGAACTTCCTCCATAATAACCCTAGGATCAGAAATTGGTTCTCCATTAACACAGATATAATTCAAAGAGTTCACTCTTCTTCTATTGGAGGCAACTAAGTAGAAAAAGTGAGCATTATGATCACCTTCTTTGAACCATCTTAATCTTGAATTCTGAAGCCAAACCCTTTCCTCTCTTCTCAATTCCTTCCATAATTGAGATCAAAGATTACCCAACAACTCATATATATTCGGATCAGTTGACCCCAGTTTTCGGCCCCGAACCCCAACTGTGCTGCATAACATAATAGCGAAGTGATCGGAGATAGACCTGCTAAGGAGTTTTTATTCTAAAGAAGGATCAACTGAGATGAATTCAGAAATCAAAAGAATCTGTCGAGTCTCACTAAATTCAGTGGATCCCGATTATTACTCCAAGTGATGCAATGGTAAGTCAACTAAAGAAGCTTCCTGGATAAAATTCCTGAAAAATGTTAATGGTTGCCAAATTATGATTGCATCCCCTCATCTCCTCTACGTGAATGAACGCATAGACATTCAGAAAACCGCACTTCCATTTATTATAGCTTAACGTCCCCTTCAACGCAATAAATCTGTTGGAGATAACTTTGTTCTCTAAACTGAAAAAATCTTCTTCCCACATAGAGAGAATTCACTCTACTGATCCAGTAGAAGGAGAAAAACAGAGCTCAACACCTACTTTATTCCATAGTTTCCAGATTGAAGACTGATTCATTACCTGAAGTTTAGTTTCTTGCAGAAAAACCATTTGTGGTTTATGTTGAACAATGGTTCTTCTAAGAGCCCAACTTTCTTGTCCTTACAATGCCCTTTAATATTCCATGAGATGATTACACAATTCATCAAACTAATAAAATACCCCCAAGAGACCCAATTACTTCAACAACCAATTTTCTTAAAGGGAGACCTTTACTTTCCTCATAACTGCTTCTTTCCCTCCTCTAAAAGAAGTTAGCAGAACCTTGCTTACCTACCAGACAGCCTGAGCTTCCTCCCACACTTTGGAAGTATCGGGTCTTGGAATAGGAGGGGAACAAAAAGAAAAAGCTTCCGAGTTCTCTAAGAAGTCGCGAACAATCCTCCTTACGTGTCTTCTGTAATCTGAATTATAGAAGTTGTTGCTGCCACTTGGAATAAAGAAAGTTGAAGTTGAAGGAGATTTATCTTGATACTGGTTGAACCTAATTTCTTTCTCCAACTCGTCCCTAAATTGTAATCCCTAGAAATGCTCTTCAGTTAAAAAATCCTTGGATTTTGAAATCATTTCTGCTTCATGATTTGAAACATAACATTAACACTACTTTGTGCATGCCCTCTGTTTCTTTTTCCTTTTGGATCGTCACACTGAAATGACACCAACTTTGTTAAATCAAACTCTCTCCAAATTGTTTGAGTTTGGTGTCAGAAATGAAGCATGTCTTAAATGTTGAACGAAAGAGATTGTTGTATAAATTCAAGAGAGCTGAGTTGAAGGGTTTTTTCTTTCTTCTTTGTGGCGACCGTCACGTGGCATTGCATATTTTAGTTAGTGAATGAATTCATGCAGCTCACCACACCTTGATTCCTTGGCCTTTTAACTTTAAGAAGAGAGAGAAGACCAGACAAGGCATGGAAGAAAAGTAACCGCTACCGGACATTGCAAGGCAACTATTTAAAGTTTTTTATTCACTGCCATTCGGCATTTAGCATTCATATTCCCCCGAGATATTTTTGTGCTTAATTTGAAATTTACCCTAATTAATTTTTATTTTATAAATTAAAATATTCACGTTAAGATCTCCAAATATGCACAAAAGATGCCCATCCTATTTCACTTTTTAAGGTTAGTTTCTTCTTCATCTGGGGTTTTCCACAAATTTTTCTTCTTTTAAATTTTCTCAAAATCATCCTTTTATGTTGCATATGCAAAGCATCTAAATGGCCTTATTTATTGGTGATGGGGAGTCTTTTCTCTTCCATTCTGGCAGGGATTTCAAAGCTTCGTTGACAGCAGATGCATTGTCTGGTTTTGTGTCTCGAAGCCCACCCAGTCCTTTTGCTTCACCACGATTTTCACACTGTTTCATCTCAGAAAAAAAATGTCTGAATCCAATCTAAACTCACCTTGCGCCAAGCTTCCTGATTTGAAGCAACCCGTCTATTATATAATGTCATTTTCAAACAAAAAGTCTAATAAATATATTTAACTCAACTAAACTCACAATTTTTAAATAAAATAATAATTATTAATTAAATCACCTCAAAAATCTTTTTATTAAATTAAACTCATTCCAAATAAAAATGTTCATACAATGGAGTATCCTGTATCCCTATTCGGGGGGGTGGGGGTGGGGTTGGGAGGTTAGGGGGTTGAAGGGGTTTTCCTATCAATATTAAGATATATATAGAGAAACACTGCTGTTTAGGACTAGCTTTGTCCGCCCAGTTTTCGCCTTGCCTCCGTTACTTTATCTCTCTCTCTTTCTCTGTCTCAAATTATTGTCTTTATTCCCTCTTAACATCAAATCTTTAAACGGAAGCGAGTCTGCTCCGTGTCTGAGCTAAAGCTTAATCCATAATACCTATGAACCAAACACTAAAAAACGAACATCTTTGGACTTGACAAGTTGCTGTCTTTAGCGCAAGTAAGAACACCCAATGCTCTTGAATCTTGAGTTTCCCTTGTAGGTTGGATTGTGGGGGAGTGTGTTCTGTATGGATTTTGAGGTGGTGGGTTTGGAGGGGTTCGTGGGTTCAGAGGTTACTACAACTGGTTTTGCTTCCGATCCTGAGGCGATGCAGAAATGGTATGAGTCCGGGTTCCTGAAGCAAGAGAGATCTGGAAATAACGAGGATGAGTGGAGGAGTTCAAAGCTGGCCAAATTTGAAGATTTCTCAGCCCCCAAGGCAACGTTGCTGAACCACAGAAATACTTTACTGAGATCCAATACCTCTATCTTCTCTGACGGACAACAGCAGCAGCAACAAATACTGAGCTCTTCTGCTCCCAAATCAGAAGCTCCTTCAGTGGATAGCGGCTCTCAAAATGTCGCATGCCGTTACTTTCACCTCACATCACCTGCTTACACTAGAAACACAGGTACATGTGTCGAAAGATGTTAAGATTCCAACATCATTACATATTCAAAATATCATTTGAGGAAACTATGCAAATGGCTTTGACATGTCGGTTGATGCAAGGCTCGACATGTTTTCTTATTGCTTTTCTGGTTTGATTCCATGGGTTCTGGTGTTGGGTCTGTCTTTTCATGGTCATCTATGACCGGTTTTTGTTAAGTCTTGTCAAATAAAAGTGAGGTTCTCTATATTTCTTCTTCCTGTCTCGGGAGAGCGACCAGTATTTTTGGTAAATAACACAAACAGTGACTATGGGAGCAAAAGAAGAAACCCAAAAGGTTTCATCCTCGGTTGTTTTTTGGGTTCTTCTCAATCCTTACCTGGCTCCCATTTTCCAGTTTTTACATTGGAGTAAAAGCTTATTTTTTTAAAAAAAAAAGAAATTCTATTGCACTGCTTTGAAAGCCTTGAAATTTTGGCTTTTGTCTCGTCATTTTTATTTTATTTTTGTTTCAATCTTTCTCCTTTAACATTCACTTGTTTTTCTTTGTTTTTTTGTTAAAGGCTACATCAGTGGAGGGTTTAATGGTACAAACATGCATGGGGTGTTAACAGGAGCTAGAGGACCATTCACTCCATCTCAATGGATGGAGCTGGAACACCAGGCTTTGATCTACAAATACATAACTTTTAATGTGCCTATACCATCTAATCTTCTCATTCCTATAAGAAAATCCCTTGATTCTGCTAATTTTTCTATTTTCTCTGGTGGACTCCTCACACCCAATACATGTAAGTTGTCTCTTCTCAGAGAAACAAAGAAAATAAAATTTTTTCCCCTCTTTCTATAATGTTCGCATAATTTCCATGTTTGATGCAAAAGTTGCATCACATACCTCTCTCTCTCAGAATGATTTGGGAGTAGGAAGGTGAGAGGCTCCAGCTAGTGATGCACTTTGTGTTTTTATTGGCAAAAAAGTACTTTATGGGGTTTTCATCATCCTTTTATCTTTTCTCCCTTAAACTTTGAATACAGAAAACAGTGTTCAACTAAGCCAAAACGATGCACTACACGCGCTACTTGACTTGGAAATTTGTTTGAATCAAAAGCATCACTGTCAATACACTTGAAATCTAACCTATAGCTCATTGCTACATTTGTTTTGGTCCCATATACGACAAGGCAACTTCACGCTACCTTTTTTAAAGTAAAGCAGTTTGTGATAAAATTGATATCAATGGTAAACCAGAAAGTTTAATTTTGTACTAAACGCAGTTTAGCTAATAGATTTGGGGTGTTGGCGTGCATGCTTAAGGATGCAGTGAGATGTTCTTTGTAATGGTGTTGCACTGTGTGTGTTTTATTGACGTTTTTTTAATGATGTTGCGACAGTGGGATGGGGAGCTTTTCATCTTGGGTTCTCAAATAACACTGATCCAGAGCCAGGACGGTGTCGTAGAACGGATGGAAAGAAATGGCGGTGTTCAAGAGATGCGGTTGCCGACCTGAAGTATTGCGAGCGGCATATGAACAGGGGCCGCCATCGTTCAAGAAAGCCTGTGGAAGGCCAATCCGGCCATTCCGCCGCCGCCACTACCACCAAACGGATGCCCAATGTCTCATCCTCCCAAGCATCAGCGGTAGGGCCAACCAGTGGCAGCGGCGCGTCCAACAGCCTCTCCATTGCACAACAGCAGTTCAAGAATTGGCAGCCTGGTAGTGCATCTAACCTTTCGGCTGAAGCTCCGCTGAACAGGTGACAGAATTTATCCCCTTAGCATTCATTCCCTGTTTGTAAATTCTTGTTGATGACATTTATCTTGGCATGGTAGGGTGCTTTCCTTGTGCCCACTGTTATTCTTATCTTGTCTTGCTTTCTAAAGAATAATAGTGGTAGATTGTAGAATCTACTTATCTTCTGCCATTACTGACAGTGACTGGCCTCACTAGTTACTGTTAGGGAAGGTTCTTGTAACAGATTGTTTAATACCCTGTTACTGTAAAAGTCTGTCATTCATCTAATTCTAATTCTAATGACGGTCGGTTATCTTCTAGGTTGCTTCCGAGTAAAGACACTGCGCCAGGACTCACCGTCACATCCCTGACCGGTGACCTAAAATCAAAAGAAAACCCCCCCTTGATCCCGAAGCAGCACATCTCATATGAACAAAACTCAAGAACCGAGTTTGGAGTTGTTTCCTCTGACTCACTTCTTAACCCATCTCATAAAGGTTCTTCCTTGATCAGGTGCAGAAATTTTGGTTCCTCTTTAGACGATAGCAATCAAGAAACTGAGGCCCAGCATTCCCTTCGCCAGTTCTTGGATGAGTGGCCTAAAACCCAGTCTGATCGTTCAGCCATTTCCTGGCCTGATTTTCAATCAGATGGGACTCAACTTACCATATCAGTACCCATGGCTGCCTCTGATTTTATTTCCTTTACCTCCTCTACCAACAACAATGAGAAAGTAACACTGACCCCTCTCAGATTATCACGTGAATTCGATCCTATACATATGGGGTTGGGAGTGGGCAGTGAATCAAACCCGAGGCAAGCAAATTGGATTCCCATCTCTTGGGAGTCATCCATGGGTGGTCCTCTTGGTGAGGTATTGCATGGTACTAACAACAGCACGGGTGAGTGTAAGAACACATCACCACTTAACCTAATGACAGAGGGCTGGGATAATAGTCCTCCGTTAGGATCATCACCCACCGGTGTCCTACAAAAGACTATGTTTGCTTCTCTTTCTACTAGCAGCGCCGGAAGCAGTCCGAGAGCTGAAAATAACAAGGCAAATGAAAGTGCCAACCTTCGCAATAATCTCCTCGGTTCAACCCTTGTCCACCCTTCCTCTCTGCCTGTTCTATAACCGACTCTTACCAACACCAAAATCACTTGGAGAAATGGGGAAGCATGAATTTTCCCTGCTCTATAACAATTACTTATGAAAGCCTTATATTATTATGTTAATCCTTAAAGTTTAGTATTTAGTAGTTTGCCATGATTGTTCCTAAAATTTAGAGAATAAACTTGGTGTACGATTGGGAACAAATTTTTTTTTTCCTCCTTTACTTGCAATGTATGGTAATGACGTGTTGGTAACATAGTTTATAGTACTGTTGGTAACATGCAAGCTTGGTCTAGTAAACATAATCTGTGCTTTTCACCGCTTAGAACTGCAAGCCTTACTGTTACCTTTAACTGCAATTGTCTAGTAAAAAGGAACTCATCTCTACGGGTACCTTTCCTTAAAAAATAAACTTTAAGTCGCAGTTGATTTCAAAAAAAATTAAGTCAAAGTTACCACTCAACAACAACAGTAAAATGCAACTTTCCAACCAACTTTCAAGCAAAGCCTGGATGTGACTTACCATGAGAACATCATCACTTGCAAGTTGGCAACTAACAATCCATCTATCCCACAGTGCTCCGCAGGCACAAAGAATAATAAATGTCATCTGCTTAACTCTAACTGCAATCTATGTATTTTGCAATTCCCACTCCGGTTGATTGTGGATATGGGACATATGTTATATGAGTAGCATTTCATATATCAAGAGTATCATACCTTTATAACAATATTTAAGCATGCGTAATACTCCAATATTGACTTTAAAGATAATATAGTCGGCAACTACCAGAATCAAAACAACCTCTGCATGTAATTATTTTAAGCATTAGATATTCTTCGACAGGATTTTTAGATTTCTTTATGCATAAAAGCTATTCAACAGCGATGGAAGCTTTCCTACACCCATTTACTCCAATAAGCTAACCAATTATACTCCATCGTCTCGTCATTAAAGATCTCCTTTATCTCAGACCATAAAAGGAAATAATCATGCAAAACGATAATACATATACAGACATTAAACTTTGTTAACTTTTATGATTTGAAGCTTCATTAGTTATGATTTCTCCTAGTCGGCAAATAGAATATCATTCCTGTTTTTAAGCAAATAAAACAATCAAAAGTTAGTTTAGATTATCATAATCTCCAGCATATTTTTCATGCATTTTTATCTCAAACTCTTGTTGTATAAATATGTTGTTTTTACTATTGAATAAAAGTGTGATTTCAGTAGGTTCTTTATATTTCTTACTTATCCTCTTTTACCAACAAATTAGTGTGAGAGTTATATTTTAAGGGACCTTTGAAATCTAACAACCAGCAAAAATACAAAAATCATACCCATTAAAAACATGAATGCGGAAGCTTCATTCACTGCACTTGCTTCTCCCGATTTTTGACGGCACAAATTATAAAGGATGGGTTTTTAGAATGGAAACCTATCTTGATGCTATTGATGTGTGGGAGGCTGTAAAACAAGAATATGAAATTCCCCCCTTACCAAACAATCCAACTGTGGCTCAAATCAAGAACTGCAAGAATTGCAAACAGCAAAAATCCAAAGCCAAAGCTCGCTTGTTTGCAGCAGTTTTGAATTCTATTTTTAATAAGATCATGACCAAGAAAACTGTCAAAGAAATTTGGGATTTCTTGTTGGGAAATAAACGAGTAAATAAGTAATTTCCCTATAACCAGATTAGTAAGAATGTGAAATAAAAACGGAAAAATAATACCCGAAATTGATAACGGAGTTAAGCCAATTATGCCTAGTCTCCGGACTGCTGCAGATCTTTTACCAGAGAGAAAATTTACAAGCGTTTACAAAACACTCACTACTCATAAGAAAGCTCTCTAGTTTTGGGAGAAAAAAATGATTTTGGGATGATCTTGAAGCTAAATGGGTTAAGGATATTTATAGTTGAAGCTTAAGGACTAATCTTATAAATACTCTAAATTCTAGTGACTAATTGCAAAATTTACCCTTCTCATTTTCAAATATAGCTGCACCAAAAATTGACAATTTTTGTGCATTAATTTGCACTTTCGGTGCAACCCCTTTTTATGACTTTTAACAATCTCCCACTTGAAGTTTGATTTTAATCTGTCTTCACACCTCAATTAAAGCAACAATATTTCTAGTTTTGTTATTCTAGCATGCCAACTGAAGCTGAATACAACTTCAGTTTGTTTGTAGTCACCGCTTTGTAAACCTACTTGTCATTGGGCAGTTTCTTCGTGGTTGTCTTTGTAACACCCCCAACCCGTATCCGACCCGGATACGAGTCCGAAGTGTCACATTGACTTTTCAAACATTTATTCGTATAAAATAGTGAGTAATTTAAAAACTTTGATAACATTTAACTTATTCAAAACGTTTACAAAATATATCAGAGTTCATACAATTTATATCTTTAGACTACATGCCAACTACACTCTATATACAATACATATATTTTCTGATCTGACATTTGGTAAGGAGAACTGACCTATCTTGCTCCGCATTACTCTTTACTCTTCTCGAAACCTACGTGTGAAACAATCACACGCTAAGTCGAAGACTTAGTGAGACATAAAAACTTATAATGCACTTTATAACATATATCAATATATGCATGTTCTGTTCTATCATGCTATACCAAATTACATGATTTACTCATATCATGTAAAATCATATCAGATTAATTAACAATAAATACATACATACACATAAATCATCATTACCAGTTTATCATGTAATCACATCCTTTTATGCTTAACCTTTTCAATCAAACACTATACACACAACATCATATCATTGTAATACATTTATCATATCACTAACATATTTGTTTATATCTCTTGATTAGCCCATGTACATATGTGAGAACTATAGATATGTGAGTTTATGGAGGTTGTGCACTAATGCTGTCACCACAGCTCATATAATGCACCGAAGTGCCACATAGAATTGCACCATAGTGCCCGCGTAGAGTTGCACCGTAGTGCCATAGAATTGCACCGTAGTGCCGCGTAGAGTTGCACCGTAGTGCCATATATAATGTCCTAAGGACCACATATCATTCCTTAAGATATACATATACTAGGGATCAAGTATGTTCTCACCAGACTTCATACATGTTCCAAATAATATGTCCGAAGGACACTATCATTTTAAGAATCATATACATATACTAGGGATCAAGTATGTGTCTCACCAGACTTCACACATGTTCCAAAGAATACATATATGTCCCGAAGGACCACATATCACCCTCGACTCTTGGCATGCCAACTATACCCTTAGCTCTCAAGACATAACATGGGCATTTCTTTTATACTTATCATTTCACATAACACATAGTTCAATTACTCATAGAACATTTTCATATGAGTCACTTACATGTCCATAGCTTATACTTTCTCGCGTAGTTACCTAGATCCATGTCATATAACATATCATATAGCTAGATCATTTCTCAGATTCATATAACATACATATCATATCTTGTTCACATATGATGATATATGCTTCATATAACACATAGAAATACCTAGAACACTTTCTCATAGCTTATATCAATTTTCAGAGTCCTTCATATTACCTGATGACATATATCATATAGATATAATAACTGATATCATATTATCTACCTTATGCTCCATTTCTTTGTATTCCCTTTCATATCAACATACATTTAAATATTCTTTATTCCTATCAATATCCTATAAACTTCTCATATTCTCATATCATATTTAATATAATTTGTATAGTAATACTCTGTAATTGTATCATATAATGGTTTTACCCAATACTACTTAAAAGTTTATATTACATGTTCAATTAGTCTCATGCTATCTTATAAATAATTCCCACTTATTTTATATCATTTTCCTTTTCCACTCACATAAACCATCTATTTATTTTAGTTCAATTTCTCATGACTTCCACAATACTCTTTAATAAAACTTTGTAGCTCTTCACTATAATACATAAACCATAGTTTCCTTTAATTTATCAATCTTCCCTATAACTTATGTATCCTATTTATGCCCTCGAATTCATACTATTCTCTTAGAGTCTCCTAACATTTCTCGTATAATCACTTACCATATCATATAACTATACTGATTATCTTATTCTCTCATGTTTTCATTCATTTCTTATGACTCTATCATATAATTATTTCATGTTCTTCCATTATTACTATTAAAGTCTACATAAATCATATAGCATATACAAGCATATCATTATCTTTAGTCATGCATACATACAATCAATGTAATACAGATATCACATATAATTATAACCACACATAATCATGTCCATGACTTCATGCATATTACTCTAGGAAATAGACTCAGCACAAGTCTTATTTCCTTAAACACATACACAGTATGCACTCACCTGGCCTCACTAGTCCATTCCAATCTCTTATCTTCCCTTTTTATCGATCTTACTTGTCAATGATTCCGGAACTCGTTTAGGCTTTGAATCTACATAATTATACATTTTAAGACAATTATTAGATACCTACACCTTGTAATTTGATACTAGCAACTTAAACGAACTATTAAACCAATATTTACAATTTTCCTTTAGGGGGATCGGTTCCCTCCTGTGGGGGTATCGGTTCCCCCATGACATTCTGGAAATTTTATTCGCTTGAAGGGGTATCGGTTCCCCTTGAATGTGTATCGATTCCCCTAGCCCAAAATTACATTTTCAGCACGAAAAATACTTCATTTCAACTTAAACACTTCCTATATCAACCTCTTTTATATACTAAACTCAAACACACATACTTAAATCCCATCTTAATTTATCCCATCTTAATTCTAATCTCTCAAATCATACTCAAATTCACTCAAATCTCTTAATTTAACTATTCTCAAATTTATTGAAATCAAATTTAACTTTATCAATCTTTTCCAAAATTTCATATAAAACTCCAAATCTTTAATCTCCCTTAACCCCTCCATTCTTTGATTTTACCGTAACTCAAGCTTTCCTTAAGTTTATCCATCAACTAAAGATCAAAACCAAACTTAAAATTCAAATAATAATCAACTAATAAAAATCTCACCTTTGCCTTGCTCTCCCA